TGCTGAACCTTATACTTAATGCAGCACAAGATAAGCCCTAAAATCATTCGCTGATTTGGTCCAATGCAGGAAGTTTTTCTGCATGTTTAGATTCTAATTTACTGCTGTTGGTTTTTTTTTTTAAATAAATATCTTAAAAAAAATAAAATAAAATACATATCTAATGCTCAGTTATTGATTGAAGCATCACTTGTTGCCTCTTCTGCCCATAGCACAGGGTAGAGGTTAGGGAAGGAAGGATAACCCTCTGTCCCTGCTGCCCAGGACCTTAACCAGGTGAGAAGATATGGCTGCCACAGTGAAAAGTGAAATAAGCACAAATACAGAACATGAAGTAAGCTATATTGTCTCATTTTGATTTTATGCAACCTTGAAAAATAAACAGAACAAATATAATTGATCCCTACTTACAGATGACAAACCAGCTCGGAGATGACATGATTTGCCAGCTGATGCACAGATAGGTAGTGGCAAACCCAGAACTTAAGCCCAGGTCTGTCTAGTCCCAAATCTAGATTATGCCCTGCTGGCCCCCTCCCTGCCCCTGGGACACTACATGCCCAGTGACCCCTGGAGCCAAGTGAAAGGCAGGGCCAAAAACTCCTGTAAGTTCACGTGAGGGGACATCACATGGAGAAACCTCCTCAAAGCCTCAGAGGCAGGCAGCCCTGTGGAGTTTCGGGAGCGGCGAGTTGCACGGTTTGATGTCAATTTCCTGACAAACGTGGACCATCTCCATTCAGGCACTTTGCTGGAGGAAAATATCATTTTTCTTCCCTTGGTGGAAAAGGAAGAGAAGCCTATCCCAAGAAGTTTTCTGTCTTAATATGCGAACTAAAAATTCAAAGTGACAAGGGGAATTCCCTGGCAGTCCAGCGGTTAGGACTCAGCGCTTTCACTGCCGTGGCCTGGGTTCAATCCCCAGTCAGGGAACTAAGATCCCATCCCACAAGCCTCGCAGCGCAGCCAAAAAAAAGAAAAAAAGACACTAAAAATTCAAAGTGACAATTAAGCAAGACACAGGAGTTGGGGCTTTCTGCTCTAGTTTTTGCTTTACATCAAATCAAAGAACTCTAGGTCCACATTAAGAAGACTAAATTAACGTTAGGGGCACCATTAGTTTGTTTACCCAGCATAAAATTATGTCTTCTATAAACGGGAATATCAAATAGCATAAAAAGCCCAGATGATTTACATTTTCTTTTTGATTAGAGGATTGCATCTGCTGTACCAAGGAAGGAAAATCTCTCCCATTTAGCTTTTGAAGATCAAAGCAGCCATTAAATATGCCATATTACCAGCATTTTTTTTTTCCTTTTTGGTTAAGACTAGGAGGTACTTTACAAATTGAGATCGTCATGGAGAAAAGGGAGGACTTTATTTGGGGTCATATGTACTGATTACAGACGAGTTCACTCCCCTCGGGCTGGACCCTGTGCTTAACCTTTTATTCAGATAGGGCTATCTACAGCTTAAAGCGCACACTGACCTGTCTACTGAGTTTTGTGTACATAGACTTGACCAAGAGAGTACAAACTGAGAGCTTTCAGAGGCACCATCTGATTCCAAAAGTTAGGGATCTTTCTGTAGCACATCTGATAAAATCTACAAAGACGAAATAAAGTCACAAGTAAAAATCACTGATACAGGAGGATGAACCTATGTATGTATTCAGTTGGGATAAGTCTTGCTTTCTTCCCACGAGAGGCTCAGACTGAGTCGTCGTTCAGGCAACAGTCGAATTTCCCTTCCCAGATAAACAGCTAAATGTGTAGATCACTAGCTAAGTGTGAAATCCATTTTATCTTCAGCAGCTTGTTACTTATTCAACTTACGGTGTGTCTTAAGTAACCGCATTCTTTGCATCAAGGCCATTTACTGGTTTAACATTATAGACATTTGTTTTCCAGCATATATAAATTAACCATCCGCCATTTTTTAAAATCACTGAATTGTACTTTATTTTTTTAAATTTTTAGAATAAATTTATTTATTTATTTATTTATTTATTTATTTTTGGCTGCGTTGGATCTTCGTTGCTGTGCATAGGCTTTGTCTAGTTGCAGCCAGTGGGGGTTACTCTTCATTGGGGTGCACGGGCTTCTCATTGCAGTGGCTTCTCTTGTTGCAGGGCACGGGCTTTAGGCATGCGGGCTCAGTAGTCATGGCTCGCGGGCTCTAGAGCACAGGCTCAGTAGTTGTGGCGCACGGGCTTAGCTGCTCCGCAGCATGTGGGATCTTCCCGGACCAGGACTTGAGCCCGTGTCCCCTGCATTGGCAGGCGGATTCATAACCACTGCACCACCAAGGAAGTCCCCATCCCCCATTTTTATTCCATATTTCAATGAACTTAGATAATTATGACTTTTTGCCCTTATGTGTAGTGTGTAGGTCTAATTTGAGCCTGGGATGTGCCTTTCCCATGTAGATAGTAAAAGGAAAATTGTAGGAGAAAGATGGAGATTGATTTCGAATAAGATGAGCAGCTAAAGAGAACGAGTAAATCTGTTTGGATAAAGGACTTGACATTTCTTTTCTGCTTTGGGCAGTCAACAACCCATAGAAGACAAATACTCAGACCTGCGACATGACCCAAATTGGAAGAGGAAAAAAGAGGAGGGGAAGTTGTTGGCTGTGGAAGCACTGCCAGAGTCTGTGGACAGCTCTGCAGAAAATCTGACTTTGAATCCACTTTACCCTTCCAAGGTGACTTCGATGGAACTCTCAGCGGGGAAAGGTGAACAGAAGAAGAGCCCACCGAGCACAGCCTCCTTACTTGGGGGTGAATTTTTAAGCCCAAACTACGAGCATGGTGCCCATCGCAGCGGGCCGTTTTCAGTGCTGAGCAGCAGTGACCCGGAGGAGAAGTCCAGCAACCTCTCTCAGTACTTGAAGAGTTCAAGTTCACAGAGTGAGGTATTCCTGCCAGGATCACACGGCCCTCGGCGAAGGAAGTCCAAACAGTATTTTGTGGAAAAAAACAAACTGACTTTGGGATTACCCACTCCAAAAACGGACTCTTATCTTCAACTTCACAATAAAAAAAGGCGGGAAACTCACCCAGAACAGGTATGTAGCAGCTACTTAAAAATCCCTTCTGAGCACTAGACTGGAATTTGCCTTTGTTTGAAATGGCTAGGTATCACTTCCTTTGGGATGGTGACGTCACTGTAACCACCCGGCTGAGTAAAATGAACTCCATGTCCCTTGGCCCTCTTTGAAGAATCAAGGGAATTATTCCACCAAGTCTTAAGAGCAAAATAAAAGCCATCAATGGCTTACAGTGCTGTAATTCAATGATTGTATTCAAAATGTTTCTATTCAAGGAACCGTAGAATTTTCTTTTTAACTGTATGCTCCATTAGATAAAATACAGGGCTGAGAGTTTGATTCCCTATGTTGGTTGCCTTTGTTCCCACTAAGGCACTGGTTTTCAACCCTATTAAATTTCTCCAGTACATTGGAGGTGCAATGACACACTCATATCAATAACAGCAGCTCTTACAGAAGTGATTCTCAACTTAGATTCTGTGTACATATTGGGTGGTAGTGCAAGGAGGGCAGGATACAACATGAGTATTTTTTTTAATTAACCAGTCGATTCTATTATCTTTCTATTATCTTTCCAACTTCCATTGATAATCACTGTACCGTCTTTTATCCTGTGCAAATGATGTGACACCATTATAAACTTTAGTCTCCCCATCTATAAAATTGGAATAATAATAAGTGCTGTCCCTTTCTCATCTGATCGTTTGGAGGGTAAATTCTATCCCAGATGATGGATTCAAAACCTGTTGGAAGGGGCTTCCCTGGTGGCGCAGTGGTTGAGAGTCCACCTGCTGATGCAGGGGACATCTTCCCGGTCCGGGAAGATCCCACATGCTGTGGAGCGGCTGGGCCCGTGAGCCATGGCCGCTGAGCCTGCGCGTCCGGAGCCTGTGGTCGGCAACGGGAGAGGCCACAACAGTGAGAGGCCCTCCTACCGCAAAAAAAACCACCAAAAACCAAACCAAAACAAAACAAACCTGTTGGAGGACTTCCTTGGTGGTCCAGTGGTTAAGACACCACGCTTCCACTGCAGGGGGCACAGGTGCGATCCCTGGTGGGGGAACTAAGATCCCGCATGCTGTGCGGCACGGCCAAAAAACAGAAAAAAAAAAAAAAAGCCTGTTGGAGCCAGGAAACTTAGTTCTATTTCATGGGTGCACATAAAGATCACATCAGCCCACTTCCTAGTTGATATGTTCGTGAACATGGGAAAACTGGCTGGATCAGTGCATCCACCACCCTTATTGAGGAGACAACTTGAAATTCATCACCCACTAATGTGGGATCATTTTCAAATATGAAGGAGAGGTTATTACATTAAATAGGCATGCCCTTAGACCTCTCCCAAATTCAAACTGATACTATGTAGAGTACTCTCACCTGTTCTAACCTGTAAGTATTTCCTGATAGAACAAGAGGGATGAGGTGGGTGAACATCTGTGATTTTTTCTTCTTAATTGAGAAACTCCCTATATGGTCTTAAAAGATTATGTCACATCCTTGCCTTTGTAACTAATAATAAAGCAAAGGAATGGGTGTGTATATTTAGTTGATTATCAAAATGAATACTTAGCTGACTTCAAACAGAATTTTTAACATTTTTGACTCAGTTTTAGTTGTTAATGTACTTTTCCATAAAACTTCTGTGAAATTTTGAATTTTGCTTGGTTGCTCATTTTAAAATACAAATTCTGTGAAAAATGTTTATAGCCAATAATTTCTCCTAGACTAGGACAATATTTTTCCTTTATTTTTAAATATGTTCTCAAAAGAGAAGAGGCAAATAGTGAGGCCAAAAAAATTAGTTATATCTCTAATAATAAAAGTGAAAAAAGATTTATTATAAACTCTTTAATTGATTTTGTAATTGCTAATTTTTCTTAATAGTTATAACTTAATTTACAAACAATATCATGGTGTGTTGCCAGTGATTCCATAGCATAATTTTCTTCTCATTATGCCAAGGAGGAAACTTTAAAGCACTTTAGGCTTGCCCAGTCTTTAAGCTTGTGAATTATTCTTTGAAGTGGCCATTGACCTTGTCCACCACTTTCTCCAGGTTCAAATGTTTAAGGGCTGATTGCTAATTATATTCAAAATTGTTTCTTCACCATTTTCCAACCTATAGTTCCTTCATTTTACTCCTTTTAAAAAAGGATACAAATTAGTTTGACCTTACAATGATAGAATGATAGGTATAACTTGTTTAATGAATTATAGTCAGTAGCATGAAATGTGTTCCTTTCAAATCGTTATTTATATATGCAGTATGTGCAGGTTTTTCTACCAGTGCAGATTATATGTCCCCCGATGGGCAAGAACTATGCTTTGTATTTACTTTTAATCTTCATGGTAATTAGCCTAACACATTGTAAGGGCTCAGTAAATACATGGGAAATGAAACGCGTCTGTCTTCCATCACCTCCAAACTATTTACCACCTCCTTCTCTTTACTGTGATTTGAAGTTTATGTGGGAGAAACGGTATTTCTAGAGCAGTGGTTTGAAATTCTGGCTGGATTTTAGATTCATCTGAGAAAAAAACCCAAAGTGATTCTCAGCTCTACCCAGACCAGTTTACATATCTGGGTGAGATCCCGAGCATCAGTATTTTTTTTTAAAGATCCTCAAGTGGTTCTAACATGAAGCCAGGTTTGAGAAGCATTGCTCCAGACTAGAGCAGGGGCTTTTGTCCTTGGCTTCACATTGGAATCACCTGGAAAATGAAAAGAATACTGGTTCCTTGGCCTGCAGCCCTGAAACTCTAATTTAAGTCATCTGGGGTACACTGTAAGCATGGGGAGCTTTCAAAGCTCCCCAGGTATTCCTAGTGTTTCATTAAGACTGATCTAGAGCAGTGATTCTCAAACATCAGAATCATCG